CCCTTAAGCATTCTTCTTGCATATATGTACATATGTATTTCAATCAATGATGTTCTTGAAAAACAAGTATAATAAAAAATAAATCAATTATTTGAACAATTTTAGTCTTAAAACGATAAGTTAGGCGAAAAAATACCGAAATTACAAATTTTTTCATGGTCAGTCGAAAACATAATGGCTTATTAACACATATCTTTGGGAAGTTTTCTAATAGAATGTTCATATTAGAGGCAATGAAAGTTTGCATGAAGTTGGTGAAGTTCCAAGAGTGTGCCGCCAAATTTAAAAAAAAAAAATATGGAAGCATGCAGAATATCTATTGCAGCCGTTTTGTAATTTTTGGAATTTACTTCAAAATGTCAACATTAAATGGTGAAAATGTTCTTGCCAAAAGGAATCAATCTAGAGCAATAAATGTGGCACCAAATGAATTACTTACATTGATTACACTGGACCACAAATTTCAACTTTTTCTCTTTACCAGAAACGCCGTTATGAAATTCTTATGTAAAATCACCCCCTGATTCCGAAAATCAAGGTTATTTTTAATTCTATGGTACCGTTTTTGAGATATTTGCAATTTACCGTTGCACAACCTGGGTATTTTTATTTGATCGCTTATAACTTACGTAGTTTTGCATCGATTTTCTTCGATGATACCTTATTTTTTTTGTAATATAACAGAGCTTAGGGAGAAAAAAAAAATCTGCAAAAAAATAAAAGGTTTTCGAGATCCTTCCCCGCAAAGTACAATTTTTTTTATATTTTTACAAAAAAAATTGAAAAAATCGGTAATGATTGTTCGTTATCTTTGAATCTACAGGGCCTAGCAAAAAGTGTTGTATGCACAGCTTATAGAAAATTTTATTACCTTTTAAAAGCTTCAAACCCTTTTGGAATTGCTTAATTCGTTCTTGAGATATATATGATTAAGTGGACCCAATTTTTATTTTTTTTGCAAAAACGGTAAATTGCAAATATCTCAAAAACGGTACCATAAAATTAAAAATAACCTTGATTTTCGTAATCAGGGGGTGATTTTACATACGAATTTGATAACGGCGTCTCTGGTAAATTTTGGCCGTCGACCAGTGTTATTAGATGACAATTTTTTACGAAACGAAAATTCCAATTTTACAACTTTTATTGGCACACTCGAAATTCATTCTGAAATTGTTATATACATGAAGAAATTAATATATGTATATATTCATGAAGAATTCTGTAGAAAAATATTCCACGCCAATATTTAATTACTTTTAAATAATATGAGTTTTTAAGCCAATTTCGCGAAAGCAATTTAAGTGAAAAATGATTTAAATTTTTTGAATTTTATATCGAAGTTGACAGGAAAGAAAAAGTAATTTTCCATTTAAATTGCTAGTGAAACCGGCTGTTAAGTTAAGACCTGCGAGTAAACGTGTTAGCTTACTGTATATAATGCTACGGGGCGTATACGTTACAGATACTACGGGTATATTAGGACGAGTTATTTTGTATTTCATTAGTATAACGTTTTTAAGTTTTCATTTAAATACAATGTTGCGATGGAATCTTGTTCCTTATGCAAAACTGAAGATAACCAAAAACACGTTTTTGTCGAAAAATATAACATCTCGTGAGATTTGCTCATGTACATATGTACATAAGTACATAACGATATCGAATTTCGTTGATACATATGCATGAATAGACATCATACTGGTATCCATATCGATGAATATACTATAGTATTCTTGAAATCAATTGATAACAAAATCGGTTAAAATATATCGATAAATACATACATATGTATGTATGCATATCGATAAAAAACTTGATAATGATATCGATAAAAACGATAACGATATCAAAAAATATTTTGATAACCAATTCAATACTTACATAAATATGCTTCACTCCTTTTTTGCTGACGGTGTTATTCTGCCTTATCCTGAGTTTCGCCCGAAAAAAAAAAATCACCCGGAAAATTTTTCATCCGCCCACAGTAAAAACATGGACTGCCTTATCCCAAGTTTCGCCTGAAAAAAAATTAACCCGGAAAATTTTCATCCGCCCACAGTAAAAATATGGAAACTAAAAGTGAAAAGTGGACCGGTTCTAGGAAAGTGAAATTCATGATAAGGCTGAATATTTTCTTCCATACAAAAAAAAAATATTGCCGAAGAAACTGCGTGACACCGCACAAAATAGTTAAGGCGATTTTTATCTGTTGAGCTGCCGATTTGGCGTCTTCTATGCAAAATTACAGAGCTAACTAAGATGTCAGTCAAAAGCATCCCTGCGACGTAGAAAAGATTTTCTACCTGGCGGGGCCTTAAGCCTTTTTAGCGGCGAAGAAAACACGCGATAAAAATAGGCACGACCAGAGCGTTGGCGCATTTTTCTTCACCGCGGTTTTTAACGCATATTTTTTTCGCAGTCAACTTTTAAGCTCGCGTCTCAATTCGCGTTCAGTAACGATATGTACATAGACTGAAAGCAAAAGATTGACGGCCCTATTCCTACGCCAACAACTAAACTCATCAAGCACTAGCCACAACAAAAGCAATGACAATTGCTACTATTAGTACGCTTAAAATCAAGTTTTTATGGCATAGTTTTAGGCTCAGTAAATTAGGCAGTAATGCGTAGCAATTGTACAGTTGGTAATGGGTTTTTTGTATATAATTATTTGCAGCGCCTAAGGCTTTGCGCTAAATGCTTTAAAATCTTTCGAAGCTAAGCAATCCATGTATAACCATTATTTTCTTTTAATTTATTCAGTACTAGCAGACCCGGCGAACTTCGTCCCGCCCAAAATTTTTATATATTTTATTGAAACTTTTTGGGCCAACATTTTCACCAACAATTCACGTTTACGATTTTCATTGGCACATTTGTCTGCTAAGATTAAGGTTTGGTGGTCATTTGCCGCTTTAAACAACCTAAGGAAAGTGTTATATCCGTGAAGAAGTTCTTAAAATTCTCCAGTTGTGCGGAATTTCATAGCACGGTTATTCGCAAAGCGAAATAAATTTTTTCCTCTTCACTCCCTGCCGGCAACAATGATCCGGTTCTATAGTGAATGTCCTAGAAGCTTTACAGTATAGTAGGTGGCAATTTCAAAATGAGTGCGAATCGTTGTTCTACAGAAATGCAATATACATATACTTATTTTAGACGAAATACCTTAAAAGTTTGAACGTATAATAATATTGGAAAATCACATCCATTGGGCCAATTGCAACGCAGGAGCGTTCGATATACTCAATGGTGCAAAAGGTACATTTAAACTGACCTTCACGGCCCCTTTTCTCACTTGGCTATTTTTAGTAATAGCTCGACTTCAGCACCACTTGGCAGCACGTTTTTGCAATAGTATTGCATACATATTTAAAACATTAGCCAAATCGGATCATGAATAAGATTTGTAGTAATAACTCTACTACAGCGCCAACTGTCGGATTAAATTGTGAAACTAAACCATCTAGAGACCCACTCAAATACACAAAAAGTTTCGTTAAAATCCGTACAACCATCTAGGAGGATTTCACTCACAAACACACCTACAGAAGAATAAAAAAATTCATTCAAAGATAGCTAAAGGTCGGTACGTTTGTAGGCCTCACACCCCTTTTTTAAATAGCCCAATTTTCTCCATGAGTATGGGCTTGATTTCAACTATATACATATCTCGATACGAAGTTCCAGTACTGTATCATGAATACTTTCAGAGATATGCAGTATAAAAATTCGATTTATATGGGAGGTGCCACGCCCCCCTTTCCAACAGCTGCCCTCTTTCTTCATGAGTATGCGATTGATTTCGTATATCTCCATACCAAGTTCCAGAACTCTACCAAGAACACTTCCAAAGATAGGCAGTATGAAAAATTAGGTTTGTATGGAAGATGCCACGCCCCCTTTTCCAATAGTTCCAATTTTTCTCCAAGAGTATGCGATTTATTTCGTACATCTCCATACAAAACTCTAGAACTCTACCAAAAAATTTCCAGAGATAAGAGTATGAAAAATTCGGTTTGTATGGGAGATGTCACACCCCTTTTTACAATAGCTAAAATTTTACTCCAAGGGTATGCGATTGATTTCGTATATCTCCATACCAATTTCCAAAACTCTACCATGCACACTTTCAGAGATATGTAGCATGAGAAATTCGGTTTGTATGGGAAGTGCCACTCCCCCTTTAAATATAGATTTTTTTTAGCCTAAAACCATCCTTGGGACACGTGCGGCAGGTGGCAGTTTCAAAAAAATCGGTTCAGCCGCTCTCGAGCCTTGCGAAAACTAACAAACGGCTTTCTAAATATAAATTAGTTGAGATATATTATATATTATAATTATATTTTGACAGTATCCGTTGTTTCTGATTGGCGCAAAGAAATCTTGCCTAGTGACGAATTCGCCCCTTGATATGGTTGTTACTTAAAGCTATTTATATTCGAAATTGCATGAAAATTGGAAAACAGGAATCTATAAGCTTATCCAGGCGAAAAGCTACCTACGTACCGAATTTTAATCAAATCGGACTGTAAATACGATTTTTTCGAATAGATCAGTCCCTGGTCCACTTCTCGGAAAAAATGGACCATATATCCTAATATATGCTAAAAAACTACTTACGTACCGAATTAAAAAGCAAATCGGACCATAAATGCGATTTTTTGGAATAGATCGGTCCCTGGACCACTTCCCGGAAAATTTGGGTCATATATGCTAATATATGCTAAAAAGCTACTTACGTACAAAATTTTAAGCAAATCGGATCATAATAAGATTTTTTCGAATAGACCGGTCCCTGGTCCACCTATCCGAAAAAAGTAAAATTTTTTTAGCCTAAAACATGGTGGTTACCGAAAGCTATTTGTATACAAAATTTCATGAAAATCGGACCATCCGTTCGCGAGATTACCTGTTACAAAAAAAGGGACTTCTCTTTATATAATTAGTATAGATTACTCTGGCACAATAATTTGAACACTTCATCCCTTTTTTAGAATATAATTTGCAACGGGATTCAGAAAAAGACGCGTAACAATTAAGAAATCAGTATCTACATAAACTCAAAACTATTTGCACACTGTCTTCAATAACATTACAATGGATTGGAGTTGGGCCATTGCTGGTGTCAACGATGAAATACCTCGTACAGCGGGTCCCGAATGCATTAACTATATGACGAATCGTCGACGCTGGACCGAATCAATAATACTCAGCCTAATATTTATATATTTAATATATTGGGCTGCGAAGCGCATGGATCCGATAATAGTGCCATCGGCGAAGGAAATCAATAAGCCACACTCTGCCATAAGATTAATGCTAATGATATTGATGACTTTTATCTTTGGTGTGGAAATGGGTTTTAAATTTGCCAATAGAAATATGATATATGTTTTGAATCCATGCCATATACAAACTTTGGTGCAGGTAATTTTTGAGCAATTGGTTTTTGAATAATTATTAGCCCGTTGTTTGTATGTTTGTAGATTTATTTATTGGCCGCTAAGCCTAGTAAAACTACTACAGCATTATTTCGAATACAAATGAATAATTTGAATGGGCCCTTTTTGGCGTTTCTATTTCCGGAAGTCGAATGTCGTACCCTTCATTTTGAACAAGCGACCTATTGGATTCAGCATGCGCTATTATATATAATTCCAGTATATATATTAAAGAGTGGTGAGTACGAAAGTTAAAACACTTTTACCTCAATGAATTAGATAAACTTTGAGTAGTAGATTTGCGAAAACTCCAGTTTCGAAGAGATGAAACAGAAGTAAGACGGATTACAAAGATAAGTTTGGTTAAAATTACACTGTGCGACAGCCGAAACCAGCCTGGACTTTGTTAACATTTTCTGAAAGTATACCAATTCAGTAGTAAAACACTCGATGGACTGGCAAAAGTTAGCTCTTATTTGTCTTAACCTTTAATTTCGCTCAGACATTTAGTTTAACAATTTTTTCTACGTTTTTGAAAACTAAATACTTAGGGCGAGGCATGAAAACTTTAGTAGACCATAAAATAAAAATACGAGCTAATTTTGCAAACCCATGGAATGTTTTATTACTGGATATGTATACTTTAAGAAAATATTAGCAAAGTTCGGGCTGGTTTGAATTCTCATAAAATTTTTGCGCAATGTTATTGCTAAATGGATGTTGTTGTTGTAACAGCATGAAATAGTTAACATAAATTATGGGATACTACTAATAGCCAGTCTTTGGTCAGATATAAACCGTGCCATTACTACCGGCAGCGCACAGTGGTTCAATTTGATTAATTTAATTTCTTTTTATGAAAGCTAATAAAATTAGCAAGAGACCATTTGAGCCCGATTTTTTAATTTTTGTTTGTTTGTATTAAATTTTTTAGTGCAAAGTGCAGAAAAAGTTGCAATTTTGAAGAAAATCAATTCTACTGATCCAGTTAATAAATGTTGAGTAGAAACCGTTCAAAATAAGTCAAATAGGTTAGAAAATCATTCATATTTAATTGTTTTTGCTTCTTGCATCAAAATATAACTTTTTTAGGAAAAGCGGACTTGGAAACTTTTCACTCTAAGCTAGCGATATGTTTTTTTCGAGCTTTTATTTAACTTGCTCTGTATGTACATATGTATGCATTTTAGAGGCAAATCAATCTGATTTAATCAGATAGGTGGCGCGGGAGTCGAGATATTAAAAAAAATACGTATTTATAGTCCGATTTGGTTCATATTTAGAACTTATATTAACTACATGAAAAGGAATAATTCCACTAAAAAATTTGCCGATAGGTCGCGCACGAGTCGATATATTTGGTGAACCAGTATTTATGGTCCGATTTCGTTCATATTTAGAAAGCTTGCTATACAAATATTTGTTTTTAATCTTAACTTATTTATTTTTAATTGTGAATTATTTTGGAAAACATATTTTAAACAAATTCCATATTCCCTATTCCTATAGATGCCTATCAGATTGAAGATATTAAGGATTACAATTGGACCACAATCGGCACTGCGACAATGTTGCTCTATCATTTTGCCTTTTTAAGTACTTTATCAATGGTGAGTTAAAAGGATCGGCTTTTAAATACGAATGGAGCGTTGCTGGTCAATCGCTTATAATTTTTTATCCTTCCATTTTCCAGTTTACCGGCATCAACCTCAGCCATATGCTCTGCGCCGCCATATCAGACCCTTTTCAAGGACAAAATTATCGAATTGCCGCTACAATACATGAGATATTCTTGTGTCCCATACTAAACAAAGTGACTGTAATTCTATTTAGCAAACCTCGAGCTGTCTCCAATGTTAAAACAATGAAGGCAAACTTAGAATTGCGTATAAATAATCGCAATAATGTCAATATTGATAGACGTGGATCAACCGATAACGCATTGCTGACTGCACATATCTGCCATGCGCGCGAACACCTATCGAAATCCGTTCCATCGACCCCCTCGTCTTTATCACCAACTTCAGCCAGTTCACCGTTGAGTGAAATTTCATTAGTTGCCGAAATGGCGGCATCAGTAGCCGCTGGTACAGAGGCTGTTACAGTTATGCGACGTCTAAAACGGAATTCCATTAATGTTGTAACGTCCAGCCATGTGAATAAAAATATAAGTGCTGGTCAGGAGGCGAATACTGATAATGAAATGGTTAACATGCAAATGCATGAATATGCAAAGCCAACAAAAAAAATTGACTAGTATATAAGGAATGTAACATGTGTCAGTTATTGGTGGATTCACGCAATTTCCATTTCCGTTTCATGCTCGTAGTAAAGATAAAGCAGCAATGGAGAAGCAATAAAAAGTGCAATTAATTTGGAAAGTCAATTGTTTTTCAGACTTCAGCAAAGCTAGTGGTCATGCTGTATTGTACCTGAGTATTCCGGCAGTTGAAAATGTAGCAAAATTCAATTTCAAATTTAAAACTCAAAAACATAGTGGCAATAACTTTTAAGCAGCTATGAGAAGCTATATAAATGCACGAATTTAAACCAAAACTTACGTGCTTAGTAGGTGGAATGTAAATAGAAAACTGTATATTCATCAAAAAAAATAAATAAAATAAAAAAAAAAACAAAAAAACGATTTACATGCAATATTCTGTATGCATTCGTTTGTACATAGTATATAAGTTATTTTAATTTATAACTTTAACTGTAAGATCAAGATGTTAGCCCAGGATTGGGAGCAAGTATTTACTTTATTTAATATTTTCTTTGAAATCTAAATATGTACGTTACTAGGAGAATTAGTATTTTCAAAGAAAGATTGCTTTTATCAAACAATTATTAAATACACAATAATTCTTAACACACGTAATAGTAGGAGATCCGACATGGGCACGACCTTCACCCATCTGTTTAATGGATGAAATCTACTCTGTAAGAAATTTAACGTATTAGTAAATATTTCGGTAGTGGGTTGGCTGCAAACATCCTGGCCAGGAAATTTTTAATTAAATATTCAAAAATTATATATTTTTTTTTAATTTTGCACTGATATGTTTAATGAACCAACTACATACAAATCGAAAGTACAAATCCTATAGAATGTGTTAAACAGATGAGTGAAAATTATGCATGCCTTCCAAACCGATGGGTAGGCCAGGAAAAAATAGACAACCCAATGTCTTCACATTCTATAGGCTTAATCAAGATGTATTAAACATACATTTTGGGCTTAATACTTTCCATATACATATGTAATACTCTTGAATTGGCAGTAAGAGCTAGTACCGTCCGAAAACATTACCGTACAGATATTTCAATAACCACGTACGAAAGAAAATGAACACATACGTTTATAAATAAACACGTACGCAACACATACACAAAAACGGTACTAGACTGTCTCACTTTGATTTCGGAATGCTTACACATTGCGAAATTAGCTTACTTATAGAAGTATTACATATATGATACTTTCGATTGCCATATAGTTTTTTCATTAAAAAAATGAGCAAAAAAATATCCTGGCCGGGATTTTTTCTGCCACCCCACTCCCAAAATATTTCCTAATACGCTAAATTTCATACAAAGTAGATTTCATCCATTAAACAGATGGATGAAGGTCGTGCCTTTGTCGGATCTTAGACTGTAAATTATACAATGTTTTACTTACCAAAGAAAAAGTCGTGCAACTTAAAAGAAATAATGCATAAACAAAAATTAACAAAATTTTATATACATACGAATAGGGTTGTTCAAAATAATATTGTAAAAAGTATGTAGAAACGAAAACAAAAAACCAATTACTGTAATCTTCAATGCTCATAAATTTTTATTCTTAAGCTAAGTTATAAAGACGATTTAATTATTATGTAGTATGTAAAACATACTTATAACATTAACACATGCATATGCCGCGCTAAATAATCTTGTATCAATTCCTGCCAATTATTATAAAAGTTAACTATGTACATAAGTGGTGTAATAAGTGTCCGGCCGAAAACGAAAACATCTATAAAGGTGTGTGTGAGTGTATACTATAAATAGAAATATTCCGTTTAGTTAATCGAAATCTTCAAATTTGTTCATTATCTAGTTTGTACGTTAGTACGTGCAAATCCTGCTAAATTTAATATTTTAATTTGCGAAGAAGTCGTTTATGGAATAGGTATGCGTTTTTTTTTTAATGTTATATTTTCTAACTATTCCTAAAACAATTTTCAGAGGATAACTTTTGGATTTTAAGCTGGAAATCGTCAGTTAACGGCCAAAGAGCAATTGGCATCAAACCAAAGATTCGGTCAACAAAACCAAAGATTCGGTCGGACCTTTCATAACTTATCCTGAGTTTCGCCCGAAAACAAATTCGCTTAAAATGTTTCATCCACCCATAGTGAATACCCATCAGCGAAAGAAGAAAATTGAACGATTTCGGGCGAAAATAAAACTCATGATAAGGCTGATTAACTTTGGAAAGCGTACATATGCATGTAAAATTGTGATCTCTTCAATGATAATTATGTATAATTTAAAAATTTACTAAAATTCAATCAATACTAATGCCATTTCCAATATAGACAGTAGGTAATATTTATTCTATGTATATATATACATATGTTTGTCTTATTACCTATTAACTTATTCAAAATGATATGTATTATGGGAAACCGTAAGATATAAAGTTATACTCAAAAATTACTGTAATCCGTTCCCAAAAACATAAACATACTTAAATAAATAAACATGGTAAATACATATTTTAAAAGCTGTTTGGCGTTTACTTTGAAAAATCATAGTTACACTTTAAATACCATTTATTTTAATTTTATTATTTTTTAACAAGTTTAAATATAAATTAATCAATTTAATTTTAATACGTTTTATAACGGATTTTGATATTCATGTTCAAACTATTCAAATCGCTCATATAAGTTGCGCTGCCCAACTTGCAATAAATTTCAAAAATTTACAGGATTTTACCAGAAAGCGGTTTGACTTCAGCGCTGTGGCAACACCAAAGTTGTGTGAAGGAATTTATTTGGTCCCAAACCGATTCCGGTAGTGCATGTTTGGTCCCTAACCGATTCCCGAAAAATTCTTATTAGAACAGTGATGCCATCTAGATACACCGTTTATTTCTTTTAATTACGCTAATAAATATGCTTTTTCATGTTTCTAATTAGTGTATTGGCTTGGAAATAAATACATTTATTGAAACAAACTTACATTTCTTTTTTTTTTGTAATTTACAGCAAACCCCATGCAAGTATTGCATTTGTACTTATATCAAAATTTCTAATCCAAACAGCGCATCTGGCAGCAATGAGCGACCAAAGTCTTGTTCTTTCCAATTTCGCATTGCATTCGTTCGGTGACGGAACGTTTTTTCACCAAAGCGCACGAAAACTTGCGAATTCTATGACGTTTAACTAAATTTGGTGTTATTTTTATAGAAAATTAAATATTGTGAACAATTTTCAATTCGTGTGAGTATGTGAAAAGTGGAAATGTCTTAACAAAACATATTTACGTGGATTTACACAAAAAGTAACAAAGCAAATGGTGATTGATTCCGTCGTGAGTTTCTTCTCTCCGTGAGAAAATTGCAAGCATATGTCAGAAGGAGCGTCCAAGTGGGCGAAAAACGAAATTGGAAATATAATTCGCCATGCAGTAATAACTAATTAAAAAGTGAGGTACACTAATAAAGTTATATTGTTCCCAAACGATAAAGGTGGCATACATAAGCCGTCTTTCTGCTGGAAGGCTAGTGTAAAATGTAAACGATCTTTCTTTGCCGGGTGGATTCATGGAAGATTTGCAATTTGATGAATTGCAATTCAGCTGGCAATCGACCTCAGCATCTAGCACCACGACGTAAAGAATCCAATCGTAACATTTTTCAGTTAACCGCACATTGTTTCCGTCGTCGTTTGCCCATTATCGCAGCTGAACAATTTTTTAATTTCATCTTATCATTTTTATTAACCTAACTTCCCCATCCCCTTAAGAATGCAAAAGAATATCATCATGTGTAGT